ATGAGGTTTCGGAATCTATAATCCGAAACCCGAAACTTTCGGATTTGGCCAAAAAGGTTTCGGGTCCCATCTCTAATACATACAGTACAAATAATACTTGAATTTAACGCGTTCTATTATTTATACATTAATGAATGATTATTAACGATCATATATATAATAACCTCAGCATTTTTTTTTTTAGAATTATTGAGTTAGATCTTTGTTATCTATAGTAGCGAAGTGATGAAGCGATCATTGCGCTGAAATGTACTAAAATCATAATTTTTTTACCGATTTGAATTGCATTATGTAACTAAGAAACTAAGAAATGAAAATCGATTTAGAAAATTCGATAATAAACCTGAACCAATCGGAACCGACATTAGAAACCGTAGTACAAACATGATTCAATTCTTTATATATTGTTACATGAACATAAGTTATCATAAAATCCGCTTAAATGGATGATTCTAATGAAATTTATCAAAATTCATATCCAAATGGAATCGATATCGAAGAAAATGAGTATGAAATAGATGAATATGAAGCTTTTAAAACCGGTTGTTGTTTTCATAGTGGGATTGGGGTTGAAAAGGATGAATACAAGGCATTCACTTATTATAAATTATCTGCTGAAATGGGATTTTCTGAAGGGATATGTATGGTTGGAAATTGCTATGAAAATGGAATTGGTGTAGAAAAGGATGAACATAAAGCATTCATTTATTACCAAAAATCTGCTGATATGGAAGATGCTAGCGCTAGAGGATTGTATTCTGTCGGAAATTGTTATGAAAACGGAATTGGAATTGAAAAGGATGAGCACAAGGCATTCATTTATTATCAAAAATCTTCTGACATGGGTAATGTTGATGGAACGTTTCAAGTTGGATACTGTTATGAAAATGGGATTGGAACCGAAAGCGATGTACGTAGTGCATTCATTTATTATCAAAAATCGGCTGAGATGGGTCATGCTTTTGGAACATATAAAGTTGGTGTTTGTTATGATGATGGAATTGGTGTTGAAAGAAATGAACATAATGCATTTATTTACTACCAAAAATCAGCAGAGCTTGAGCTTCATATTGGAATATATGCCGTTGGAAATTGTTATTTTGATGGAATTGGGGTAGAAAAAAATGATTACAAGGCGTTTATTTATTACCAAAAAACTGCTGAGATGGGTTTTTCTCATGGAATCTTTCAAGTTGGAATGTGTTATATAAATGGAATTGGGGTTGGCAAGGACGATTATAAAGCATTTATGTATTTTCAAAAATCTGCCGATATGGGAAACTCTGATGGAATGGATAATGTCGCTTATTGTTATCGAAATGGAATTGGAGTAGTAAGAGATATACAAAAATCCGATTATTGGTATCAAATGTAAATATATTATTTTAAAATATATTATATATTTTTCTAATTTATTGTTTATTGATTTTTTTTGCTACTTATATTGTTGGTTTAATAAAATCATTCACATTACGTTCAAATCATTAATTAGGGAAAGCAATTTAAAATCATGTGAGTTTATTCTGCTGTTTATAATAATATTTTCTCGAACAGAAATTAATAAATCTTCGTTTATTTTAGCTAAATATGAACGCACATATGAAAACTTGGATATTGATGATAGTTTGAAAAAAATACTGATCGAGAATAAATACAAACTATTATGGATTTCTTACGATGAATTTGAAAATATTAAAGAAATCGGAGAGGGCGGATTTTCGACTGTATTTCGTGCATCGTGGGATGATAAAAGTCACAAAACAAAAATGACGGTTGCACTTAAATTACTTCATGGATCAAATGAGTGTATTGAAGAATTTATAAACGAGGTAATTTTCGATCAAATTCTTTTGTAATTTTTTCACTGAATTTTATGGTAATTTGTGCCTTATTTTGCATAATAAAAAGTTAAAAGCATATTGTGATATTAGGCTTAAACAACCGAGTTTTTTAAGATGCTTGGGAATATCAAGAGATAATGCTTCCGGAGATTATATACTTGTTATGCAATATGAATCATCGGGTTCTTTACATCAAAATCGATATTCAATTTCACAAATGGAATGGGAAAAAAAAATAAATTTATTAAATTGTATTGCCTTTGACCTTCATGCAATTCATTCGCAAAACCTTATTCACCGAGATTTACACAGTAAAAATATACTTCTAGCTGATTTTAAGAGTGCGTACATTGCAGATCTAGGGCTTTCAAAATTAGCAAATATAGGATCAAACAATAAAATATATGGTATACTCGAGTATATGGCACCCGAAGTATTATATAATGGAGAGTATAGTATGGCATCTGACGTATATTCTTTTGGCATAATTGCGTATGAAATAGTATCAGGTTTTCGTGCATATCATAATACTCTATGCGGTATCGGATTTTCTCGTAAGATTTTTTATGACGGTTTACGTCCAAATATTCCAAACCATGTACCAGAATTAGTTGCGAAATTGATAATTAAATGTTGGGATACTCAGCCAGACAAAAGACCAAATTCTAAAGAGATATATGACACTATTAATGCATGGTATAATGAGGTTCTAGATGATAAACCAACTGAAATCGTTGCGCAAATAAGGAAGGCTGATGAAATACTTGAGTCAAACATGTCAATACCTCATTTTGACACACGTATTGAAAGTTATGTCAGCAAACGATTTGATACACTAAGCGCCATGGAAATAGGTAATCATTATTTTATGATATTATAATGTGATATTATAATGTTATTTAAATTCATTTTTAACGATTATAACGTTATTATTGAAAGAAAACCAAGTTAAGCAGAACAGCGAAAGCCTAATTACAGATTGCATATCGCAAGACGATATCGTTATGCATGAACATATTGATAATCAAAAGTCTACTGAAATAGAGAATGCAGATGATGTATTTAGCCTTGGAAAGTGTTATCTTATTGGAGATGGAGTCGAAAAGGATTATCATAAAGCATTTATTTATTTTCAAAAATCTTCTGAGATGGGTCAAGCTGAAGGAACACTTAATGTTGGTAATTGTTATGAAGAGGGACTCGGAGTTGAAAAGGACGAACACAAGGCATTCATTTATTATCAAAAATCGGCTGATATGGGGGATGTCGACGGAATATATCAAGTTGGATGTTGTTACGAAAATGGAATTGGAATCGAAAGCGATGAGTATAAGGCGTTCATTTATTATCAAAAATCGGCTGAGATGGGGCATACTGATGGAACATTTAGACTTGGAGTTTGTTATCAAAATGAGATTGGTACTGAAAAGGATGAAAACAAAGCATTTTATTATTATCAAAAATCGGCTGAAATGGGAAATGCTGAAGGAATGTATGCTGTTGGATATTGTTACAAAAATGGAATTGGAGTTGAAAGGAGTGAACATAAAGCATTTATTCACTATCTAAAATCAGATGAAATGGGATATTTTGTCGGAACATATAATGTTGGTGGCTGTTATGAAGACGGAATTGGAGTTGAAAAGGATGAAAATAAAGCATTCATTTATTATCAAAAATCTGCAGAGATGGAAGATGCTAATGGGATATATAGTCTTGCGAATTGTTATGAAAATGGAATTGGGGTTGAAAAGAATGAAAATAAAGCATTCATTTATTATAAAAAATCTGCAGAAATGGGAGATGCTGAGGGGATGTTTAATGTTGGTTATTGTTATGAAAATGGAATTGGGGTTGAAAAGGATGAATATATGGCATTTACTTATTATAAGCAATCCGCTGATAGTGGGCTTTCTGAAGGAATGTGTAATACCGGACACTTTTATGAAAATGGAATTGGCGTCGAGAAGGATGAACATAAAGCATTCGTTTATTATAAAAAATCTGCCGATATGGAAGATGCTAAAGGATTGTATTCTGTTGGAAATTGTTATGAAAATGGAATTGGGATTGAAAAGGATAAAAATAAAGCATATATTTATTATCAAAAATCTGCTGATATGGGAGATCCTGACGGACTGTATAAAGTTAATAATAATATGGAATTGGAGTTGTAAATAATGGTTGCCATTTATTTATTTATTTTCAAAAAATCTGCCTACATAGAGAACACTGTTTGAATATATAATATTATCTTTGTTTTTATAATAAATAACTAGGCGTTATGATAAAGTTATTAAAATATGTCATTTTACTAGGGGCGTTACGCGCGCATGGAATTCCTTTCAAATTTGAATTCGAAGCTGATAGTATCTTTAAATGTCATTTCCATGTGATTTGTACTTGACATGACGTTTTCATTTTATACAATCAGGATGAGGCCTTACCTCCGACAAAGTTATGTCTTAAATTACACTTAAGAATGTACAAAAAGATTTCTCGAAAGAGAACGTTGCAATCGTGTCGTACAAACGATATTATACACAAAACCTCATTATATAGATGATAGTAATATATTTCACCTAAATAGCGATATCCAAAAGTACCTACTTCATATATATAAAGAGCTACAGTACTTCTAAAGTGGCTATTTTAGTTATTTTAAATATATGACGATAAAATAGCTAATAAAGTAGCTACTTTAAATATATAAAAATTAAGTAGCTAATAATGTAGCTACTTTGAATATATAACAATAAGGTAGCTACAATAAATATATAACAATAAAATAGCTACTTTAAATATATAAAGTAGCTACTTTAAATAGTATATCATCAAATATCTAAAGTAGCTATTTAAGTATATAAAGTAGCTACTTTAGATAAATAACTACTTTATATGCAACATATATCAGAAATTACTGTATTAAGGGATGTTTTTTTGGGGGTTTTTTTTGGATTAAAAAGTTTTTTACAATAAGTCAACTTCTCTATGCATAGCGCCTATTCACTTATAAAAATTCCCAATTTTAAAGCTCTTTTGTTTCCGTTAGCATAGCAGAAGTTTGGTTTGATTGGTTGTTAAGATACCCGGAAAACATGTAGATCATACCCCGGATAGAGTACCGGTTAATCCCGAGCAAAAATTTTATAACTCACGAACTTTTAAAAAATTAGTCAATGCATTCTAAAGACATATTATAATTTTACAATATACTAATTAAGTTTTGTATTAACAACTTTAATTTGGAATTTAGGTATTTTTTTTTGCAATAAACAAACTATACTTGTATCTAAATAAGTTATACAGTCAGACCCCCTAAATGCTACCCCCTAAATGCAACACCTCTCTAAATGCACGCCTTCTTTCGGGCCCAACTAATATTACACCTATAGATTCTTACCTCCCTAAATGCAATACCTCTCTAAATGCACGTGCTAGAGCTGGTCCCGACGACGTGCATTTAGAGAGGTCTGGCTGTAATCAAAAATATTAAAATACGGTTTAGAATAATAGTTCAAAATAATACCTTTATACAAACAAACTAGTTGAAGCAGAATCTCACAATTTCACTTACTAGTTGCTTAGATCACTGAATCACCTTTCTAACCTTTCAAAGTATTCACTTCTCATCTAGTTTCTTGAATTTCCATGTCTTACTGTATCTCTCATTAAAAAACAGTAGGTTTAAAGGTGAAAAATAGGATGCTTAAGTTTGTTGTTTTGTCACGTATTACAAAAAAAAATTTATATGGCGTGTAGGGTTGTTAATTGTTTAACATCTCCGCCACTTCAGAGTTAAGAGCTGGATTATTCCAAACATCTTTCATGATACTAAAATTTCATTTACGAAGCATAAAATTTCTTCTTTATATTCTTTCCATGACCTATTATAAGTTAACTTTTCTAAAAATTCGCTATAATCTTCATGAGAAAAACTTGATACAAATTCTCTACACTTATTTTTAATTCTTGATGGAAGTGTAGGCTTTATTTGCCTAACCGGTTTCTAAATAAAGATCACAGCGAGAAATATTAGAAATAATTTATAGGAATTTGCTTCCTCAATAATATTAATAAACATATGCCATAAATGCTTTTTTTAGGTTTTTTAAATTTCCACATAAATTTTCTACAAATTCAGCATTATTTCTAATAATTTGATTAGCCAAGGAATCTTACCAAGTTAACCCTTGAATAGGAATCTTCTTTATACCTAAGTATAAATGCTGATAAAGAGAAGAAGTGTTTCTTTTTCAGCTTATTGATATTTTTTTCAATTTGGCCTGGTCTAAGTGGTTGTTCCTTATCCATTTTAATTGCTCCCATAGCAAATAAAGAACACATATCATCAAAAGCACTATCAAACTAAAAAGAAGTTGCATATTAGATTTCAGAAATATAAAAATTTTCATTATTAAAACTAACATATATTATTAGTGCATATACAAAGTTAACATCTTTGTGTGGCCATCACGCAGATGAAACTTTGTGTGATACTAATTAACTACATAATAATTTATACTTAGCTTACCCTGACTGTGCAATAACCTTTTCATATAATAGGTTGGTAGAGTGAACTACAATACTGCATAACAGTCTATAGCATATACACTCCTTTATCATACACAAGTATTATTGGAGCTGATTTAATGGGCAAGAAAAATATAAACAACAAACTATAATTATATAGCCTGTTTATTTAGTACTGTTCTGCAGGTAGATTACACAATATCATCATGTAAAAAAAATCTGAAATATCTGTATAAAACTTTAAGAGGTCCCTTAAAGCAGGGCAAATTACGTTATAATTAACCAATCAAATTGTTAAAATTTAATGATCCCGGATCAGCCCAAACAAGCAAAAAATGGTATTTCACATGATCTGCCCTGCTTTAAGAACCCTGCTTTTAGCAAAAAATATCACAAATTTGAAAGTATTTTGTCAGGGCCGATAATTTTCTGAGGTGGTTAATAAATTTCTGATAAAATATTTGTCTAATTCTGTGGTAACATTTATAATTTCTTTACAATTCTGTAGTATCATATTGTAATTTCTGTAATCTAATACGATTATAAATTTTTTCAAAACAACTAATTCTAGTGAACATGCTCATAATTTACGTTGATTTATTGTCTACATTTACAGTATTCTCAACACTTGCTTGAATTTATAGTCAGATCCTGTGATATAATTATGAATTCTGTAATATTCTGCATATTTTTTGGAATTCTGTGATATTCTGTGATGACTAATGGTGATTTCTGTAGTTGGCTGTGATTAAGAAAAATTCTGCTATTTTCTGTGAATCACAGAAAATCATTGGCCTTGTGTAGAATCAATATTTGTTTTTGGCGATCATTGGAGAATTTTAATTTAAAATATAGGTTAGTAATATTGGTCTAAAAAATGTATTGACGATTTATTTAAAATGGACAAGATATTACAGAGTTAAGCAATTACTAGTAACTTCAATCTTGCCCAGGAGGCTTTAAATTTACTATGGATCTCGCTTGGCACAACACACCTTCACTCACAGATGCACTACTTTTTGTGGGAACAAGTACTCCAGTGATATATTCGTGATAATCTTATTACCTGATTACGGCCTATGTTAGGTAGTGCTCCACAAACTCAAATTAAAGTTTGAATCCCAAATCAAATATTTGATCAAATTGAATATTTGATCAAATCAAATTTATCAAATAGATCAAATAAGTGATTTATATGCTTTTCGAGTTTGTTTACCATAAATGTGCATATCCTTTAAAATAGTAATCCTATCATAAATCAGAGCCAGGTCTAGTAGTGCTGCCATATTGAGGTAATTAATTATGACCAATTAAAGTAAAGTTGCAATTTTCAGTAGTATTGACATA